GGGGAAGGGGTTGAGACAGGGTTTCTCTGTAGCTTTGGAGCCTGTTCTGGAACTAGCTCTTGTAGACCAGGCTGGCCTCAAACGCACAGAGATCTGCCTGCCTCTGCCTCCTGAGGTGTGTGTCACCACTGCCTGGCTAACAGCAGAAGACATGTTTTTAATGGGCTAAGAACAATTGTGTGAACCAAGAGTTGCAAACTTCTCTGAAGAACAAAACTCCCAGTCTGCTGCGCCTACAGTGTGTATACTCTTGGTACAGAAAATGCTAGCATGTGTGTTTGGGGAGAGGAAGGAAATAACACAAAATCTGAGATTCCAGAGGGTAAAGATAGTGCTAAATGTGTGAACCAAATAAAATAGAAGTAATACAAGAAAAATATCAAAAAATATCCATTTTTTGCCTATGTACCTGTGTGTATGGAGTTTCAAATGGGCTAAAAACCAACATTCTGATTGACAGTAGCAGACAGGGAGGAAATGATGGGAACCCAGGCCTGCTAAGATCCTCATCAGATTAGAGTGAAAATGTTGGCTAGCTCTGGATTTGGGTCCATAGCCATGGTAACCATTAAGGGAAATTAGACAGAGCAAGAAATTCCCAAGCAAAAGAAACACAAGGAAAGGAAAGGAAAGGAAAGGAAAGGAAAGGAAAGGAAAGGAAAGGAAAGGAAAGGAAAGACAATCATCTTAATTTTAACAGAGGCAAGAAGGTGGGCCTGGAGGCATAGGGAGAGGACAAGATGGATCAGTTGTAAACCATGTGACAGGAGAGGAGAAATGAAGCCACATGCATGTTAATACATAAACATAGGCCCCCAAACACAAGCTGAAGAGCTCAGCTACCAAATGTGTCTTTAAAACAAAAGGTTCAATAGCAAAAGGATGCTGACTGGAAGATAAAGATGCACTGAGAGATGCTAACAAAAATAAGTGGAGCCTTTCCAACAAAATTGTATACAAGCAAAGTATTTACAAGGTTAGAAAAGGCCACTTTCTAATGTTAAATGCATCTGCTACCTAGCAGATAATAGCACTACTGAGCCTATATGCCCCTAACCACACAGTCTCAACATTAAGCAAAAGTTAATGAAAACCATAAGAAACTGAAAAACTAGTGACCCCATGGGAGACTTGAAAGCAATTTGTTCAGTAGACGTTGGAAAAATGGAGAGGAAAAAAATATCAGAAATACAGAAAGGTCGATCAGCATGTGACCAGGAAACCTGCTACTTATTGAACTTCAAATTTATATTTGCATATCTTCTTGGCATGCACATAGGCTAATAAGTTGGCTGCAAAGACTGTGAAAGGATTGGGGTTTTTCAGACCACCCCTGTGGTTAAGAATACAGATATAACCAAGCCACCTGTCTTAGTTACATTCCCATTGCTGTGACAAAGCATCCTGAGCAAGGCAACATAGAAAGACAGATGCTTAATTGGGGCTCAGAAGTATAGAGGGCTAGAGTCCATGACTGTCATGGCAGGGAGAATGGCAGCAGGCAGACAGGCACAGTACTGGAGCAGCAGCTGAGAGTCCCCATCCTTATCTGCAAGTAGGGGGCAGAGAAAGAACGAATTTGGAATGGGAGCTTTTGAAACCTTAAAGCTGTCCCCAGTGACAGACCTCCTCCAGCTAGACCACACCTCCCGATCCTTTCCAAACAGTTCCACCAAACAGGGATCAAGTATTCAAACATCTAAGCCCATGGAGCCAATCTCATTCAAACCACTACACAACTCGATGTTTTCCAACAATAACATTTTTAAAACTCCAAAACTCATGGGAACCTACTGGGCATTACTATCAGGTTTAGGTCCATTTGTGCCCAAATAACTCTGGATAAAACTAACACCGTTTCCTGAAGTTCTGTAAATTGCCCGTTCTGGTGGCAACCACAGGGGTTATGCAGCAGAAAGACTTTTCTATAGTGGTAGTTTTGATTGCTTACATTTTTAAAAATAGATTTTAATGTAAAAAAAATAATAAGCAAAAACTTCAAAGCAACTCACACATTTGAGACAAGTGCTCTCCCCCTGAGCTACACCCCTGGCCATTCCATGGCTGGTTCCTGTTTCTATAAAGAGTGTGTTTAGCTATGAGGGGTGGCGGACCGTGAGGGAGGAGTAGGCCATGATGTGACAAGTGTTTCCATAGCAGCGACCCTGTACCAAGGTCCAGGTTTTCACATCCATTTGTCCCCTTTATTGCTTTCAATGTGCTAGGGATGATTTTTTAAATTAATTAAATAAATTTTAAATAATTTTTTCCAAGGGCCTGGAGGTGAACTGGAGGAGAGATACCACTTAGGCACCAACAGTTGTCTCGAGAAAGAGGGAAGTTGGAAACTCAGAGCACCTGGTGAAGGCCATGTGCTTCACAGGCGAGGAGCACACACAGCCAGCTCCATCTGAATGGCTGGATGGCTGCCATTCCCTGAGAGAGCATAGCCCCACATCCAGGGGCATTATGGGAGGTGGAAAAGGTCCTCTGGAGAAATTTTAAAAAGAAGGGAGGGAAGGAGGAAGGGAGGGAGGGAGGGAGAGAGGGAGAGAGGAAACAGGGAGAACGAGTCAGCAACTAAGAGGGCTTTAGCGGACCCAAGTTCTGTTCCCAGCAGGCATGTCAAGTGGCTCACAACTGCACGCGGCTCCAGTAGGGAATCCAACGCTCTCTTCTGGAACCCTTGGGCACCTGCACCCACATCGCATGTGGACACAGAGACACACAAACATGTCTCTATGTATTTTAGTAAAAACAAACCGAGAACCTGACCAAAGTCAAGAAGCACCGTGATCAGACCTCGCATTGTGCAGGCAGTCTGTCTTCCGAAACACCAGAGCTGAACGTCTGCAGCGTCCAGGCTGGCTCCCTGTCAGAGCTAAGCTTTGAACAAAGACTGGGGCATTTGCTAAGGCACAATAAAAGATCGGCAATTTAGCACCAGCAGAAAACGACCTTTTTAGGAGGAGCAGGGTGCGGCTTTTAGACTAACACAGTAGCAAGTGTCGGGCCCTGAAAACGAGGGAACCAGTGTTTGGCTTTTCATTTGTTGGTGCCTGCTGCCCTCTGCTGGCCAGATGTGGGAACCGCCAAGAATCAACAAGCTACTTCTCTGAATACTTGGTCTGACAGGCATATGGGTCCACCCTCTCTCTACACTCCACACTTCACTTTTGTATACTAGTACTGTATAGCTTTTTTAAAATACTTTCTTAAGACATTTACATATTAGAAACAGAAACAAAACCTTATTTCAGCTGCTGCCTTCTCAAAGCAAACAAACAAAAGTTTCCCATGGTCAGAGAACATGGCTAATCTTGGTGATTTTAGCAAAAGCACGGGTTTCCCTACCACTTCCTGCTCCCCAGAAAAATAAGTTACTTTATAAAGACAGTTTTTCAAGCTTTTAAAAATATGATTTACTTTGTGATAATCTGCTGTGGGACAATGGACTTTTATCCTGTCACTTGTATTATTTTTAATAAAATGATGATTGGCCAGTAGCTAGACAGGAAGTAGAGGCAGGCAATGAGAATTGTGGAAAGAGGAAAAGTTTTCAGTCGGCAGTCACGACCCAGCCTCAGAGGAAGCAAGATGTGACTGCCTCACTGAAAAAGGTACCAAGCTACGTGGCTAACTCAGACAAGAATTATGGGCTAATCTAAGTTATAAGAATTAGTTAATAAGAAGCCTGAGCTAATGGGCCAATCAGTTTATAACTAATGTAAACCTCTGTGTGATTCTTTGGGAGTTAACGGCTACAGGACTGGGAGGGACAGAAACCTCAGACAACAAAAATGTGGGGACCCCATCATTTGGTTACAGTACTAAAAGTAATATTTTCATCAAAACAAACTCAGAAGTGGTGGTACAGAACTCTAATTCCAGCTACTTAGGAAGCTGAAGCAGGGGGATTGCACGTTCAATGCTTGCCTGAGTTAAGAGTTCAAAGCTGGCCTAGTCTATTGCCATTGCTGTTTGGAGGCCCACCAGAACTTGAGGGAAAGACCCTGAAGACACCATACTCTGTTTGCAAGATGTAGAGAATCAAGCTGGGCCTTTGCCAGAAGCTTCTCCCTAATGGCTGGATTATAAGGCACCAGAAGGTGCTGTGAAGGCTGCTGGAGACCATTGTCATAAATAATATTATCCAACTGTAGACCCTGTGTGCTGCCTTCCAGGCAAGATCTGTGTGCCACACCCCTGGTGTAATAATGGCGTTATTGTTATGGTGAGGGGAGGGGCAATAGCTTTCTGGACATTAAGCCTGCTTCTTAGGATTGAATCCACATCTTTGACTGCAAACCCACTCAAAATCCTGTGGTTGGAGAGATGATAGGCCCTGGTGGGGAAGATTTTTCTGGCTTTTGTGAAATTGACATTACAGGACTGCCAAAATGCCCTCAAAATGTCCGTGTTGGTGTCTATAGATCTGTTCAGATGCCAGCAGCAGTCGGAGAAGCGTCCCTCTGCGGTGGCCAGCAGCGACTGCACAGACTCAGAACTGGCCCAAGTGCAGAGAAACAGTAGCTGCTGAGGGCTCACCCTTAAATGGGACATCTATGTCACCCCCCAGCAAGGCTTGAGAAATGCCATGGAATGGGGCAAGAAGGCAAGAGCAGATGGCAGGGGTGGGGCATCGTGGGCTGCCGTCTTCAGCTACAATATGATCAAAGTACTCTTGAGCTCTCGGAAGCTGTGCTCACTCTTACAAGATGGGGCTCATCAGCACCCCATCATGGACAGGAAATACTCACAAGTCCCCACTGAGCCCCAGGATTTATAGGCAGTTAATGGTTGTTGGGGACTAGAGGAGCGTTATCTTCAGTGGTAGAGCCACTAAAGGTGCCCATTCTCCTGCAACCGGCCCCTTATCCATGTTCCGGGATGGAACCTTTGTAGAAATCATTGTTTACACACACACACACACACACACACACACACACTCACACACAAAATGTCCCATGTGCATGAAAATATCACAACGAAACCAATCGTTATGGATAATTCATATATTCTAATAAAAAAAAACTAATAAAAAAATAAAGCCAACCTGGGCAACTTAGTGAGATCCAGCCTCAAAATAAAGTCAATCTAGCTCATTGGCAGGGCCCATGCTCAGCATGTCAGAGGCCTTCGGTTCAGTCCTCCAGACCAGTGGTTTTTGCTTTTAGAAAGAGTACTTTGCTAAGGCTATATGGAGAGAATGTTTCAAAAGTCATGACAGATCCCTGGAGCTGAGAGGCATTAAGAAAATGCCCAAAGAAGCCATCCTCTCTAAGAGCACTTGGAATCCCCAGCCAGCGTGCAGGTGTGTGATGCTGTGGACCTTAGTGACCTTCAGAAGTGGGAGGTGCAGGGGTTCTGAAGTCTCCTCCTGATGCCATCACCAGAGCCATCATCTGAAGTGTGCTTGTCGGAGGTAAACGCTGCACCTTGGATCCCAGAACATAGTAATACCAACTACTCCCCAGCTTTTCACAGCCAGGGACCCATGCCTACCCACCCCAGCCTGCCCACATGTTCTCCCTTAGGATCTTTCTGTGACCTTGTTCTAGCAGACTTCCTTCTGTGTGTAGTGACAGAGGTCACCAATGTGTTGTTTACTTCCTGTCTTCTCCAGGGAGTCTGTCTTGTTCTGGCCTGCGTTCTCCGTACCCAGCGAGTATTTACGTATCCACAAGTAAATCAGTGGACTGAGCTAAGGAAGACATCCAGACGTGAGTGACCCGGGGGTGGGTCCGTGCAAGGCCACAGCATGGAGCTCATTCCTGGAGTGGAAGCAAGTTCCTTGACCACAGAAGAGCGGGCTGACTAGAATCACATGACAGGTGGGTCCCACCTGCTTTCTTCCCTTGGATTTTCGCTAACCCTTAGGACGGCTCCACACAATTGATAGAGGAACAGCAGAAAAGTTCAAGAGCCTGGACCGCTGCAGGCCCTGCTTGGAGCCGGAGGACAGAGATTCATGAAGGGACACCAGCAACCGGGTGGGCCGTCTGTCAGTGTGTGGGTCCTGGTCCAGCCAGCTGGAATATTCTCGGGCAGCAGGCTGATACCTGGCCTTCCCTGAACCTATCTCCATTCCCCTTGTCAGACAATAAGAACCGGAGCAAGGAAAATCAACCACTTGGAAAAGCTGAAGGGAGCTGTCCCCGGGGGAGGTAGGAAAGATGAAATGTTTGCTTGCATGCACCTGGGGTAGGAGCTTTTTCCTCTGATGCGCGAGCTGCCGGTCTGCTTTGATGGCCTCTCTGTTAGCAGAGGGTCCTGGCAGCTGGCCGAGGAACCGCCCTGAGAACCAAATCAGCAGGCGGGAATGAAGCCAGGGCTCCCTGGGCCACCTCAGGGCAAAGAGACCTGTGGGTTCTTTAGGAAGAAGGCCACTTTCTGGGCCACAGCATCCAGCTCACTCGGGTTGGCTGACTGAAGGAGGTTGCTCTTTGGGACAAAATAATGCTTCAGGAAGTGCTGGCTCACACATCTATGCAGCTTCCGGGCCAGGCGCAGGAGCCCTTGGTGGAAGACCTGCCAGTCCTTGAGGTTTGGGTATTTCTCACAGGTCCAGAAGAGCACGGTCTGAGGAGGAAAGATGGTGGGAACGAGTTGAGTTTTCGGGGCTCTGGGAGGAGGAGCAAGGCATTCTGGGAAAACTGGATTCACCAGGAAATCCATGATCCATTGCCTCACCCGGGGCCTGGAGCTTGACTAGCTGGCTGACACCTCCCAGTTACTCTCTCTCCCATTCTTCTATGCTCTCCCAGAGAGACATACTCCCTGCTCCGAGTAGAGGCCCTCTGCCTTCTAGCACACAGGGAACACGGAAGCCCTCCTGTCCTGGACCAGAGACTTCTGCCATCATGGTGGTCTCCTCTTTCCGTCGCTGCATCTGCCACTTTCTCACGGGCCTCTGCCTGGGTCTCTAGGACTCCTGGGACCCCCCTCTTTGGAGATGTCCTCCTGGCCTGGTCATTGTCTTCCTGCTCTCCCATGGCAGTCTCTGCTCCAGCAAGTCCTGGTGCCTTGCTAACTTCCTCTCCTCTCACTCATTCCCTGCCTCCCTCTACTCTTCAAACAAGGAGTCTTCTGCCATTAATCCTGAATACTGCTCTCTTAGCCCAAGATCTCCCAGCATCAAAAGGCAGGGCAGGCGCTTTCCAGCCTCACACCTCTCATCAGAGGGTCAGACAGTCGACTACACCCTGCCTTTCTAACTGCTGCTCTTTTGACCCCTAAGCCAATGCTCTTCCAGACTTTCTCCTCCATTCCATCTCTGCTCTGCACCCACCTATGTCTGCTCTGCCTTGGAGTTTCTAAGGAGACCCCTCCTCCCCACCTGCCCCTCCCCTGCCTGGTGCTCTGTGCCAGCTTCCCTCCTTCTTAGTAAGATGGCGGACTCACACGGCACCTTCTCCAGCCCAGAATCTGCTTCTGACCTGCTTAGTCTTGGGTATGGAAAAGTTCCCTCTATTCCAACATGCCCAGACTGAACTCGTGGCCTTTCTCACAAACCTGCTCTGCCTCTAGACCTGCTTAGCCAGCCAGCTGTGCCAGACACAACCTGGGGCAGCATCCTCCCTGTCACTCACAGTCCAACCTGGCTCATCTTCCTGCTTATTGGTCTCTCAGCCCTGCCACTGGGCTTCTATCCCCACCCACTGCCCTCCCCATCGTGTCTCACCCTCTTTGGCAGTCTAAGCTGTCTGTGCTTATTCCAGTTACCAGCCAATCTGTAGGGTTTTTGTTGCTTATTTTTAAAGTATAAATCTTCATGATTTTTGTTTGTTTGTTTGTTTTTTAATCTAATTAACAGTTCCTCTTACTCTTGGTTAACTAAGGTACAAAATAGGTCTCACTATGTAGCCCTGGTTGGCTTGGAGCTGTGTAGACCAGGCTGGCCTCATATTCACAGATAACCTCCTGCTTCTGCTTCCTGAGGGCTGGGCTTAAAGGTGGGTGCCACCCCACCTGGCTGAGAATGCAATTCTTAGCACGCTCCATGAGGTTTGGCCCCTGCCTTGCTTGCCAGCCTTTCGACAGACACAGGTATCAAGAACAAGATGGAACCAGCCCAAGTGGCAACGGTGGCTGGCCAGGGCACACAGGACACAAAGATACAATGGAGAACTGTTCGTCCAGAAAGAATGAAACCCTGTCCTCTCTACATCTAAATGGCTGGAAGCAAAATGGAGGGACATGTGTTAAGTAAAATGAGCCAGGCACAGAAGGACAAACACGGCACGGTGCTTCTCACAGTGAAAACTAAGAAATGAAATTGATCTGAGTATGGTGTGCTGAGGACCAGGAATTTGGGGAAAGGGTGGGGCAAAGGGGGGCAGTGCAAAGGGAGGTTGGATGTGATTGGTGCGCCCTGTGCACACATGTAAAAACGTCACGCCAGACCCAATTAGTATGCACAATTAAACATGGCAATCAAAAATAAAATCATCAATTTTAAGAAAATGTATATTTAAAATCCTGGATTAATGAAGAGCACTTGCTGCTCATTCAAAGGACCTGAGTTCATTTCCCAGTACGCCTTTCAGGTAGCTCACAATGGCTTGTAACTCCAGCTCCAGAGGATCTGATGCCCTCTTCTGGCCTCCTCAGGCATCTGTACATATGTGGTATATACTCACATAGACAGACATACACACACACATAATAACACACATTTGATATTTTAAAAAGTGGATAATCTCTTCAACTAAAGTGGACCTGGGAAAACTAGGGAGGCAGGGAGGAGGGAAGGAGGGAGAGAGAGAATACTGTGTGCATGCACACACAAAGAATAAAACTAACCACATCTCTCAGATGATACAAAACCAACTCAAAATCGATCATGGGGCTGAATTATAAGACTTGAAATTATGGAACTGAAGAAAGCGGGGACATGCTTCATGAGACTGTCGATAACAGGCAGTGGTTTTTCAGAGAAGACCCAACAGCATGGGGGCGGGGAGGAAGGGAACATAGATGCTTGTGAACACACCGAACTCAGAGGCGTCCTCTCTACAGAGCCGTCACCAGGGTGAGGTGGCGTGTGAGGGAATGTTAGCAAGCTGTACTCCTGAGGGGGTTGATATTCAGAATAAACACAAAACTCAACAGCCAAACAACAACAACAAAACCACCATGAAAAGCGGATAAATAAGAGGAAGTGCCATTTCTCCAAAGAAAACGCACAGATGGACAACAAGCAGATAAGTCAGTCTTCGGGGAAATGCCAGGCTACCGTTTAAAAGACAAAATGAGCTAGGTGTTGGCAGTGCAAGCCTTTAATCCCAGCACTCAGGAAGCAGAGGCAGGTGGATCTCTGAGTTCCAGTCTAACCTGGTCTAAAGAGTGAGTTCAAGGACAGCCAGGGCTACACAGAGAAAACCCTGCCTCAAAAAAGAAAAAAAAGGGGGGGGGGGCAAAAATGGTGTAAAATGAGAAGACAGTAAGGACAGGGGAACTAATATAAATTAGTGTGACTTTTGTGGAAAACAGATTGGAGGTTCCTACAAAACTTAAAATTCAGGTATTCATACTGAGAAAATGAAATTAGAATATTAAAGAGATACTGATACTCTGGTTATTTTGTAGTATTGTTCACAGTAGCCGAGAAAAAAAAAAAAGACCAACCTAGGTACCTACTAATAGAAGAACAGAGAAAATGTGGTTCACCTGCATGATGGACGACTACTCAGCCACACACACACACACACACACACACACACACACACACAAAATGAGTGGAATCCCGCCCTGTGCGGCAGCGTGGAGGGAACGGGGAACTTATGCTGAGCGAGATAAAGGAAGTGGAAGACAGACACCGCATGCTCCCAGTCACATGTGCGCTAATATGGAGGGTCTCACAGAAGCAGAGGGGAAAACAGCGCTTATGAGAAGTTAGAGGGAGGGGGAAGGGTCAGAGGAAGGTTGGGTGGTAATATAAAAACTACAGGGGGGGATAGTTCAAGCCTCGCCAGCACAGCAAAGTGCCTGAGGTTGACAGACAGCGACTCTTTCTGTTTTGAAATACCCAGAGGCGTTCGAAGGCTACCGACATGAAGACGAAAGTTTGAGGAGACACGCTGGTCACTGCGGCTTTCCGTGGCGGATGTCAAACTATTAGGTGACATAGGGTGTTTATTTGTACAATAGATCATCCCTAATGTTGAATCAGAACCAGAAGGGAGGAGAGAGAGGGGCAGAGAAGACGAGGAAGGGAAAGGGCAGTCAGGGAGGGAGGAGAGAAAGCTCTGGCATGACACACAGCTGGGGTTTACAATGCTCCCTGAGCAGAAACACACACTGTGTGGAAACCCTGGGACTGAAAACAGTTCCCACGGCCCCCTCCCGATCCCATCACACATGGGGACCCACCTAGAGACAGTTGCCCTGATTCCCCCCGCCACACCCCGTGCTCACCTGCAGGTGGTGGGTGGTGATGACTGGCCTCTTCCCTGGACACCACACATCCTCCTTCAGCTGCCTCAGGACCTGAAAGCACCGCTTGCGGCAGCCCCCATCCTCATCCAACTGCTCCAACAGCATCTGCTCCGCCTGGGGGAAACTCAGCTGCCAGTGATAGCTGGACCGGGCCACCAGGTTGAACCCAAATGACTGCAAAAAGAGAAAGAATTGGGAAGGAAATGAGTGTGCATAGCTTGAGGGACCCATGGCCCCCAGCGTAGGGTATGTCTGTGAGATGGTGTATTATTCGGCCAACAAAAAAAGGTTCAAATCTAGGCATTCACAGAAATGGATGGAATTGGGGTCTAAGGTGTAAAGGGCAGCCATGCAGAAAAAGACAAACACATACTGCGTATTCTCACTCACATGTGGATGGCAAAACACAGAGGCCAAAGGGCAGCGTGGAAAAACACAAAGCATTTTGAGTTCACACAGGGGGCAGGGGAGGCTCAGACCCACTTTAGGCAGCTGCTTCTGCCCGTGTCAGAGTCCTTGAGGACTTAGCAGCCTTTCCTGGGTCACAGGACTCTGTCCCATGCTCACATGGCAGGCCCAGGGTTCCTGATGAGAAACCTGCACTTCTGGTAAGCGCAGGGGTGATACCGCCGCTTGAGTGGGGCACACGCCTTAAAGCAGCAGCTCTAAGGAAGCCTCTGCTTCCCCAGTAAGCTGTTACGTTGTCAGTAATGAGATCAGCACAGCCATTAGCACTCTGCAGAATGAGACCCCCGCCTGGCCACCCGTACCTTGATGCACTCCACTCTCTCTGGGGGAGGCCACCGCTTCAAACACCTAGGCCACTGGGCTTTCTCAGACCAGGCCGTGGGGATCTCCACAGTAGGGGCCAGCTCTAGCTCCACCTGGCCTGTGGACGTTTCCATGGCAACCCAAACAGCAGCTCGGTTGGTTAGCACGCTGACCTTGCCTGATGGGAAAGCAACCAGAGAGACACTTGATAAAGAGGAAGAGCGCCCTTGCTTTACACTAGCATCAGGGCAGATGGTCTGGGTAGCCTTCAGTGTGACTGTCCCACGGTGTCGGTTCTACTGACACCAGACAGTCAGTCATTGTCACAGCCTTGCTGGGAAAGTTCATGGTCAGTGGGTCTTTCCTTTTTCTCCCCACTACTCCAGAGCTTTTCAGCACGCTATTGTAGAGGGTGTGTGTGTGTGTGTGTGTGTGTGTGTGTGTACATGCGCACACTGCATGCATATGTGTGTGTGCATATGTGTGTGCGAGCGTGTGTGTGTGTGTGTGTGTGTATACGTGTGCACACAAGCATGCATATATGTGTGTGAGCATGTGTGTGTGTGTATTGCAGAAGATAAGAGCCCAGGGTCTCACACACACTGATCACAATGCCTCCGAGCTATAATCCCAGCCCAGAGGTTTTCTTTTTAAGAGATAGATTCTTTCCAGAAGGCTCAACGAAGGGAAGCCATGGGAAAGATGGCAAAGGATCATATAGGCTACTGTGAGATGGAGTCTAACACTTATAGGCCTGCTCTGTTTCACCCGAGCACGCCGATGCTGGTCTGAGAGAGAAGGCAGGCGAGAGCAAGGACTCTCTGATGTCAGGATTTTGCTGAAGAGTGACCCTCGCCCAGTGCTCCAGCAGAGGATGACCTTGAATTTCTCATCCTCCCATCTCCACCTGGCAGAGTGCAGGGATCAGAGGTGTGTACCAATGTATCTGATGGATAGGGCTGGGGTTAGAATCTGGGCTGTTCTGCGTGCCAGGCAAATAGTCTATCAACTAAGCTGCATGTTACCCAAGCCTAAAACGGCCACAAGAATTAAATGACCCACCCAAGCACTTTCTGTAAAGTTAACATCCATGAGACATGACCAGGATGGAGGCTTTCAGAGCTGTTCTGTTGGGACAAGCAAACAGTTACAAATGTATCATCTGACCCTGAGTCCTGCAGCCTGTGTAATTTTCATAATACATATGTGCCTGTCTATGTCTCACTCAGCAAAGGCTGCACACGGTCTGCCAGGCAAGGGCACCATCATTTACTGGGCCAATTTTCTTGAGTAGTCATTTAGGTTTTTTTTTTTTTTCTAATTAGTTACTATTTTCCAACCCAGGGCAGAGGATAGTCTTGGCCATTTTTCTTTGTGTGTTTGTAAAAAGTTTATTTGTTGAATTGCCAAGGAAGCACATCATAGAGAATAAATAACAGGCAAATGGCGCTTTAAAAACAAAACAGTGATTTCTTTTTTGCTCCCAAGAACAGCACAAAAATGCCTGTTTCACCCGCCCCACCCTTCACCCAGTAAGAGCACGCTTCTCACGCTTCACACAGCTGCTAATCGGGTAGGCGTTTTTAATATGCTTTTATCGTTGCTGGGATTCTTTGTCGTTACTGTTTTGTTTTAGACTTTATTTTAAATTACGTGGTGTGTGTGTGTGTGTGTGTGTGTGTGTGTGTGTGTGTGTGTGCTGTGTGACTGTATGTATATACATACCCATGCAGGTATCCCGGGAGGTCGGCTGTGGTGTCAGATCCCGTGGAGCTGGAGTTACAAGGGCATGTGAGTTACCTGAGGTGGGAGCTAGGAACTGAACTCAGGTCCTTTTGTAAGCACAGCCATGGCTCTTAAAACTGTGCATTTCTCCGGTCCTGGCAGCTGACTGTTTAATTTTAAAAGACAGGGCCTGACTCTGTAACACAGGCTGGCCTTAAACTTGTAGTAATCCTCCTGCCTCAACTTTTCCAGTGCTGGAATTACAGGCATGCACCAGTCACCATGCCTGGCAATCTGGTAGAATTTTTAATATTTTTAAAATCGACATTTCCCTTTTTTAAAATCGTTTATATTCTTCTCCCCAAATCCCTGTTTCTGGATTTTTGTTTGTTCGTTTGTTTGAATCTGCTTTGCTTTGTGTGTCATTATTTCTGTTGCTCAGCTCATCTTTTTTCCTTCCTGGTGTATAACTACTTCTGCAATTAAGGAATTTAGACAGTTTTTACACATGTGCATGGTGTGTATGTCTGTGCATTTATGCATGTACACATGTCACCCTGTGCTGTGCCTTCTGTGTTCACAGTTGTCGAGGTCAATGGGTCCTAAGGCTTCAGGGCTGCGGCTGCAGGAGGCTGGCACTTTCCAAGCATGCGCTCTCTACACCCTGTGTTCAGTCAGATGCTCCGAGTACACAAATGTCCCGATAACCAAGGTGGGGGGCAGGGTTGGGTGGGGATGGGGGGGGTGAGTAATGGCTGCTATAAATATGTACACTGAGGTTTGGGAAGGGCACAAAACCCACAGCCTAAGTTATGTCAGGGCAGTAATTTCTGGTAATTTCTAAGTCCCGGAAGTGTTCCCTAAGAATGAATCCCTACCCTGTGGATTTCATAAACAGACTAGCAGGTCACCCCGCCCCTCATCCCCCACTGCCACAGTGTAAAAGAAAACTGGCTACCGTGTCCCTTGTGGCTTTACTTGATCATCAGCTCACCTGAGAGGTGACAGGTTCTCACTGCGTTTTCTACCAGCGTCCGGAACACCTGGAGGACTTTGGCAGGCACGATGTCCCCCTCTATGTTCACGTCTGCCTGGTGCCACTGCCACAGGGTCTTCATGAACTGCTAGGTCTCCAGCCACTGCTGCAGGCCCTCGGGATCCCGCAGAGGGCAGGTGAGCTTGGTGCCCTGCAGGTCGTAGTAGCGCCAGCGCTGTGCCCGGGCCGCCTTGTATCCCGCAAGGCCTTTCAGTGGGACTGTGACGTGGAACAGGCTGGGGGCCAAAACCTGGGGTTAGAAAAGAGAGGGAAGAGATGAGCTCACCCACGGGAGTGGGGGTGGTGACACAGAGAGGTGCTGACCTATCCCACCAGGCAGCTTAAGCGACTGTCCAAGCCTCAGCAATGTGATGAGGCTTGCAGAAAAGAGACCAAGGGATTACTGAGAATTACGTCTTTTTTTTTTTGTTTTGTTTTGTTTTGTTTTGTTTTGCCATTAACCCATCTCTGAGGCTGTGGCAGAGGAGGTGACTTAAGGAGTTCTGGGTTTTGTAAGACCTCAAGTTAAGTATGAAGAACACTCGGAATCCTGAAGGGACTTGTAGTTTAAGAGAGAAGAAGGGGAAGGGAAATGTATCCACTGAGCCACATACAGCTCAGGTCTCTGGCTGTGCCTCTTCCTTCTCCGAGGTCAAACAAGAGATAACTTTGTTTACTCCTCAGTGAGCAACCTAAGGCTCAGAGGGGCTTGCAGGTTCCTCAGGGACGCTGTCAGCAAGCAGAAGAGTGGAAATTTTCATTGAGTTCTTTTGGCAGCTTGTTCAGCGGTTCTACCCTGGGCTAGTTCTGCAGCAAGAAAGATGTCCTGGGATAGCTGAACGCTCCGATGTGAAAGAGAGAAGGTGACAGATCTTTGAAGTGCCACCCTTTCTCACTGCCCATCACAATGACCCAGGGTCAGTCTGCATGACTAACCCTTGCAGAATCAAAGGTGAAATGAAAGCCTGTCTGTCTGGACAATGTGAGCCATTGAGTTGATTCTGTGTTTAATGGAAAAATGGATGTAAATCCACCCACTCCCACTCTCTGGGAACCAGTTAAGCGGTGACCAGGAAGAAAGCAGACACAGTAGACACACAATGCCAAAGACACAGTAAACTAGTTGGCACTGCAGATCTGCCAGAGGGACCCTGAACTCTGGCTGGACCCGGGGAACTGGCACCCTCTTTGTCCATTCAGCCACATCTTTCTTCTTTGAAGAAAGTTATGGGGAATGCAGCAATAGTTGCTTTGGTCTGGGCAGTGACCAACTGAGCTGATATTGCATCACTTTCCGAGAACATTTGATGGTATAGACGATGGCACCGTATACCTTCCGGCATCCTGATGCTGGATTAAATAGGGGGGACAAACCCCTAAACGACAGATGCATTTGGATGCATTTGCACATGGGTTCATGAGTTCAATGGTGGAGCTGCCCAGATGACTCTGACCATACAGTGCTGGCCACTTAAGCATGGGAACCTGAGTTCTGGTCACCAGCTCGCACAAAAAGTCAGGTGTGGAGCGCATGCCAGTAATCACAGCACTGGGGAGGCAGAGGCAGGAGGATCCCTAGGACTTGACCACTATCTAATATAGCTTCTGGACTCTCTTAGCACATCCACACACGCGGAGCAAACACTTGAACAGGTACAAAAGCATCCACCCACACCCACATCCCCAACAACGTCAAATGCACCGCTAGCTACACAAATGGTGTTCGATAAGTACATACTTATCAAATTTAGTTCAAGATGAAAATTAAAGCCATTTTATGTCTCTGTCTCTCTCTGTCTGTCTCTGTCTCTCTGTCTCTGTCTCTCTCTCTCTCTTCAGGGTCTCCTGTATCTCAGGCTGGTCTCAGGTTTGATGTGGCTCTGTGGTGGTTTGAATGAGAACGTCCCCCATAGGCTCAGGTCTTTCCAGTTTGTCCCAGTTGGTGGCATTCTTTGAGGAGGTAGTATGGAGGAAGCATGCCACTGCGAGCTGACTTTGAGAATTCAGAACCTGGCTCTGCCTCCACTTCATTCTGTGTCGTATTTGTGGTTGAAGATGCTTTCTGCTCCTGCGGCCACACCTGCTGCTTGCTGCCGTGTTACCAAGTTACCATCATAATCAGCTCAAGAATTATTTCTCCCAAAGTTTGCTTTGATTGCAACATTTTATCACAGCAACAGTACAGTAAACAGCAAGCTAATACAGAAATCAGAGGTGACCACACATGTCTCATCCTCCTGCCTCCACTTCCCAAGCGCCAAGATCACAGGTGTGCGTGCTGGAGATCAAACTCAGGGCTTCGGCAAGCACTTTACCAACTGAGCCATATCTCCAACCCTATTTTAAAGCTTAATAAACAGCACAAGATGCTAGTCAACACAGGATATGTTTTGAACTATCAATCTAACTGGGACCATAGCAGGGAACTCTTATGGTCCAGGTCAGGGGAGAGTGATACAGTCTTGTTCTCTCTAGTCCTGGGGTTGTATTTGCCTGATTGACACTAGCCAGGGGAGGAAGAGGTGGGCAAGTGTTCTCAAATGACAGGATCAAACCCAGCTTTACAATCTTCCTCCTAGAATAAGTTTCCTGAAATCTGACTCTGCCTCAAAACCCACAGATCTTTGAACCCTGCATCCAGCAGCCTGGGACGCACTGGGCCCAGTATAGATCTTGGTGGCCAGGCTCATTCTTCAGAGGCCAAATGTGCGTGGACTGGATGCTGGGAATGAAGCAACCAATTAGCATGGCCTTAAAACCAAGGGTCTTACAGGCTGGTGGGGAAACAGGACATGTCGAACTAATGCGAAGTGAAAGAGATTTGTTTGCAGAAAAACTGTGACCAAAAATGGTGAGGATTCAGAGGGACACAGAACCTCCTTCCTGTTTCATAGCAGAGATGAGCACACAGTATGCCCACAGGCTGATCGCTGCTGACTGTCATGCATTGGTCCTGGTGTTTAGACTCGGTGGGACCCCTCAGCAGAGAGGGGCTACCCTGCACTCTGACAGTTCCTCAGAGCCATCTCTACCCTCTTGCTTCCCCTACCTGTACTCTAGAGAATGTCACCCATCAATTCCCATCACTTCTGTCTAGTTCCTTAGCTATTCAGTAGGCGTTTAATAAATGAGCAGCTGCCTGGCCTTGCTTTGACCATGAGGCAGCATGCTTCAGAATCAGAGTCTTTCGAGTTACGGCCTTAGGACCAAATAGGACTTGGTCAAGTACCTTGGCTTCCTCCACCCTAACCTCTGTGGTCTAGGAGTGTGGGGCTCTCGCAAGGGAAAACTTCATGAGGTGTGTGTATGAACAGTGCCTGGAGGAGACACTGTACTATGTTCTCAGTGGGGTGAAACCCCTCACACATGGAGTCCTTCTGATCCCAAGGCCTGGGAGCTTCCTGGAGCACCTCAGAGAGACCTGCTTACCTTAATGCTGTCGTTGTATGTGTTAGAGGCGGGCACGGCTTGGAATCGACTATCCTGGTGGCTGATCTCTGCCGTCAGATGGTGGATAATTTTCTGCACCTCTTCCACACTCTGAGAAATCTGCTGGCGCCTCAGGTCCACCTGGGTGTGAGGGGATCAGAAAAACAGTCACGGGACCCAAGGCACCAGCATAGGGGACAAGACAAAAGCACAGGAAAGCCTGCTCCAAGTTCAAAGCCAAAGTCTTGCCTCCCAGGACGCCAAGGGAGTTGATCTATTTAGGTCTGACGGTGACTGAAGGGACACTATTTCCTTCTAAAACATGTACGGTCACTTAATATTTATCCAGAACTAACTCCTAGGCAGAGGCTGGGGACATGATAGCAATCAAGGCAACAGTAAAGGTGGGAGGGGAGGTTTTGTACCGCACACCTGTAATCTGGCACGTTGGAGGTAAAAGCAGGAGGATCTGATGTTCAGGACCAGCCCTGACTCTGCCATGAGTTCAAGGCCAGCATGAGCTACGTGAGTCCCCGTCTCAAAAACCTTAGCAACAAATGCAATTGAGGTGCATGATGTGAAATCCAATAAAGAATCAATAAAAAGTTAAATTTGAAAAACAAAACAAAGCAAAAAAAAAACTTAGCAACGGATTAAACAGATGTTGTTTTCTGGTTGAAGACACATAGTTGCGCGTGTAGACTGTAATACCATACATACCAGTTTTGAAAAGTGTCATAAGGACTGCCGAGTTAGGATAAAGAGAAGTGGATATGGCGTGGTCAGAGAAGGTGACCTCTGAGTGAGTCATGGAAAGAGATCTGGAAAACAGATTCCCAAAATACTCAAAACAGCCAGATAAGAAAATCCCAAGTGGTAGAAAGACATTGGACCAATGCTAAGTCACCCATCACTCCAGACACCAGAGAGTTCCTACAGAGCCATCCCACATAGAGACAGAATGCAAGGCTAGGAACAAACCTATCTGCACAGGTTTCATGGCCCACAGAGTCAGCCCATTGACAAATATTTATTTGGCATTCACTGTATGCTGGGTACCGCTTCATGCTGGGTCCAGGAACAAGAGAGAGACATGACTGTGCTTACAGCGCTGGGGAAGCCATATGGAAGAGAATGCTAGCGTGGGGGCCCCCTCCCCGGAAAGTGTGGGGTGCTGCAGGATACAGAAGAGAGGGGATCCCTAATCTATATGCAGAGATCTCTTGGATATGTACAATTCCATATACAAAGTGCTCTCTCTGAGAAACAAATCTGTACTGTCCAGATGATCAATGCTACACTGAGTAGCAAGAGAGAAAGGAGGCCCCAACTCTACAGACCTGCGAACCTCACTGGAAACATCAAGTACATGTTTTCACTGAATGCCCACTTCTTGCTAGACTGAATATTGGTTGCATGGCAAAAGATTTACAGAGAGACTGTCAAGTGAAACAGATTGAAATTGACAAGGTCAGGAGCTGGGGAAAGACATGCACAGGATGCTGTGGATGCCAAGCAAAAGGACAGCTGTCTAAACTAGAGGCCAAGGGTCCTTCCTGGAGGTGGAAGGTAAGGTCAGAGGGAGTCAGCCAAGGGGCTAGGGGTCTGGCTCCGGTCCAGTGAATGAAGCCTCCATCAGTACAGAAACTGAGTGTGCAAGTCTCTAATCCTAGTGCTTTGGAAGGGGAAGCAGGAAGATCATTTGTGGCTTCTCAGCAAATCCTGGGATACATGGGACCTTGTCTCAGCGTGCATGTGTAGAGTGGCAAGTCCTAAAAAAAAAAAAAAAAAAAAAAAAAAAAAAAAAAAAAAAAAAAAAAGAGGCCAGTGGCTCCCAGGGTCTGTGGAGTTTCCCAGCCAGAATAGGGGAGCGAATGGGGACACATAACAAGTTCAGGAGGACCAAGGATCACCACTTCAAGAAGCTTGACCATGGAAACAAACAAATTAGGCAACATCAGGAGGGCCAGCAGCAGCTTCTCTCAAACTGACAGCCGGGCTTAGGCATGTTCAAACATGGACGGAAGTGTCGGTGCAGGAGGGAGAAGCCCACACACTGAGGAGAGGAGGGATTTCCCTGGAGGAAAGTGTCATGCAAATAAATCCCCAGGAACTCACCATAGCAAAGCTTCAGTTGAGAAGACTAGGAAAGCTAGGGGAAAGGGAGGGGGTGGTGGGGATTGAAGACATTTCCTGCTTGAAATCAGTTTTCTTCACAGGGTAGGAGAGGAGGCAATATGCAACAAGAAGCTGGAGAGGGGGCAGGGACCAGATTCCAGGCAGTAGACTAGACCAGCTTCCCAAGGGATGAGGGATGAGGGACAGCTTGGGTACTTGTGTAAAGAGCCGGGAGGTGGTGGCGCAAGCCTTTAATCCCAGCACTAGGGAGGCAGAGGCAGGCGGATCTCTGTGAGTTCGAGACCAGCCTGGTCTACAAGAGTGAGTTCTAGGACAGGCTCCAAAACCACAGAGAAACCCTGTCTCGAAAAACAAAAACAAAAAAAAAAGAGGGAAGTAAGGAATCATAGGCATGGTGAGGCCCATGAGGCTGTGGGGTGTGAGTGGGCTCAGCTGTTCAATAGTCTGAAGCCCTGCTTAACCCTCCAGGTCAGGCGGAGGCTCTCAGTTTGGGGTACACTAGGGCTAGGAAAGAGTTGGAGGGGTGTTAGCTGGGTGGGGTTTTCATCATTAAGTTGGATTTTTCAGCCTGAGGATGGAATGCACATAGCCAGGCTGGTAGATTACAGGGCACTGAAAAGGGACAAATCTGCTAAACGGGTGTAGTGAGGGAAAATTACATAGAAGCATTACAAGTACCGCAATAAAGGAGCCATGCAAGATGTTCTGACTCGGTAAAGCACCGTGGTCATCAGTGGCTAGGAAGGGTGGCTGGGAGGGTGTGGCGCTGAGTAGCTAAATTCTCAGAAGGCATGGAGGGCCAAGGCTAACAATCCAAAACTCCCCAAATCTTTAAGCTCATGGATATGATTCCATAGAGTTTGAATGTGAAAAACCCAATGGAGACAAACACACACACACACTCACACACACACACACACACACACACACACACACACACACACTCATATTAATAAACTAAGTGTCCTAAGTTGATTTCTATTGCTATGTTAAAACATAAGCCAAAAATGTGGAGGAGGAAAGTGTATATTTGGCTTACTCACTCCAATCATATTCCCATACCAGGGAAGTCAGGGCAGGAACTCTAGCAGAGACCTTGAAGGAAGCTGCTTACTGCCTTGCTCCCCATGGCTGGCTCAGCTACCTATCTTATATAGCCCTGGACCACCTGCCCAGGGGCGGAACTGCCCACAGTGGGCTGTACCCTCCCACACCAATCATCAATCAATAAAATGCCCCACAGACTTGCCTACAAACCAATCTGATGGAGGCGTTTTCTCAATCGACGTTCCCTCTTCAAAATGACTCTAACTAGGCCAGGCATGGTGGCACACGCCTTTAATGCCAGCTCTTAGGAGACAGAGGCAGTAAAATTCCTGAATTTGAGGCCAGCCTGATCTACAGAGCGAGCTGAAGGGCAGCCATGGCTATGCAGAGAAATTCTGTCTGAAAAAAAAAAAAAAAAACAGCAACAGGACTCAAGCTTCTGTCGAAATGGCAAACCCGAATCAGCACACTAAGATCTGTTATATTGTTGGCTCTGGGAGCAGGGATGCAAAACACCCCAGGGAACAGCCTTCTTCAGAACAAAAAAATTCAACAAAACTTCTTCTCTGTGGGTGAGCTTGACCACGAACTGGACCGTGACTGGGCAGAGCAAGACTGAACACACCCTGGAAGGTAGCTATCATCACTCATTATCCGGGAGCTTAGCTCACCGTCCTTGTGTGTTCTGATCCGCAGTCGTGAAAATCAGACCGGAGGACTGTGCTGTCTGGAAGCTAAGACTACAAAGTCTTCTTGGGCACTTCTTACACTTAGGTGCCTTAAACTTAGAATTATTCCAGCTTCAGAAATCATGTTATTCGTTGTCACTTAACAGAACAGTACTGGAGTAGCAGGTGGCTCTCCTATGTCACACTGGCAATTAGTAGAATTAGACCACATGCATGCACGGGGTTTCCAATGCCATTTTCCAGCACTCTCTGCCACACCCTCAAGAACCCGAGTGCTGTGAGTGGAGCCCACCCCTTCTCTTCTTCCATGTAACAGCAGTCTAGAGCTGCCATTGGTGGGAGCTCCAGACTATTCCTGCATCCCACAAGCATGCTAGGGTAACACAGCAGGGGCCAGACAGTGATGCAGGCATGGACCAGAGCCACAGGCAGGCTGTCCCTGCAGTGCCTAGGCTGCTGAAGCTGGGTACAACTTTATCAGGTAATATCTGCTCTACCCCCACATTACTGGTCACACGCACAGGGACAGGCTGTTATGACGACAGCATCCCTGAGCAATCTACAGCCTCCAAGTGCTCTGTGCTGGGGTTCCCAGGCCAGGCTCAGGTTGCAACCTCAACCTAGACCCTGACAGCCCCCCTCAACTATTGCTCTCCACTTCTCTTGATTGAACCTAGGGAGACAGAGCAAGAAGGTTCAACGTCTGGGTGAGGAAATGCAGAGATGAGCCCTGAGGCCGACTGCAGAGCCATTTTGATAAAAGATGGAGGCCTTTCTACAAGGGCAGGCCCCTCCAAGCCCAACCCTAGAACCCCTTTTCTTTACAGTCTTTCAAATGTCAGCAGGTCAGCCATACAGTCTCATCACCAACTGTCTTGCAGGCAACAAAAAGCTTGAAAAGAAACAGAAGGAGGAAATGGGATTCTTGAAGAAAATGCACTCAAAAGCGTAACCAATCCGAGCTTGATCCAGGTTTTATCCACCACCTCTGCCGATAAATTCAATGGACCAAAAAGGGTCCCTTCTCTTTCTCAAGGGCTGCATTTGTGGGTACGGCAGATCCCAGGCAGAATTGAGCCACACTGAATCAAACAGGCACACGAGGCTGGATGCTCCAAGGTCACCTGGGGCAGCAGATGACGCCTTTGAGCCACAACTTTCCAGGTCCTCAGTCTCCTCTCCAGGTGTGTCTACGTGCCCGCCCACAAGTCCCTGTCTCATCCGAGGCTCCCTCCCCTCCTTCCCAGCCAGAGCTTCTGGGCTATTGTTGACACACAAGTCCTTTGCTGCTATTAATAGTTCAGGTTTGCGAATAATTTACTGTTTCAAATATAAATGACTAGGGATTCAAGACTGTTCCCTGTAACAACACCGTGCTGACTCACGGGTGTCGCAATCCTCTTCCTTGAACTCCATGGAGGGCCAATTAAGCAGCGTGCGGGAAAAGTTGTTCGGGGCCTGGCTGTACCGAGAACAGGTGGTCGGCATAGATGAGCATCACCCAGGTGGAGGGCAGGTTGGGACAAATGGCCGAGAACGTCCTCCCAGACAGCATGAAGTTGGGCTGTTAATCTCGGAATTGCTTTAAACCCAATCATCAATTAAAACAGAATAGAAACCCTCCCTGTTCTCTAGAGCCTGCCAGTTTAAAGAGAGAAAGCCTTATACATTTACTGAAAGACACAGAGGGAACAGTGAGCCTTCTCTGCTCAATTCTGTGAGGAATGCCTACACCTCCTGGTGTTTGTGGCTTCAAATGCAGCAACAGCAGCAGCAGCAGCAGAAGCAGCAGCAGCAGCAGCAGCAGCACTGTGGATCTGGGGTTACTCAGTCCTTCTAGGGTACCAGGCACTTCATATGAACAGGAGTACCGGAGCCTCCTTTATTGTAGCATTCGCTAATGGTTCCCATTTTATAGATGGGGAAATTGAGGCTCAGGGAGCAGCTTGCACCGAAGTTAGGAAGTTATAGACAGGCCGTGTTTGCCACCTTGGATTCTGACTAACGAGGTGGGTGGGTAAACTGGGTTTCCTCCAGGGCTTTGTGTCTTCCTCTGTGGAAACCTGACACACCCTCCAAGCCCTCCTCTCCATTCCTCTTTCTGTGGACCACTTCTCCCAGCAGAGCCAAGCCCCTTCCTTTTGCTCTGCAGGGCTCTCATTGCCACCCTGGGTCTTGTGTGCACTGCAAACATCACTCGGTGACTACACAGGATGTCCCCTTCTTCCAGGGGAGTTAATACAGAATTTGCAGGTGTGGCCGGCTGTCCCTTAGGTAGCCCGTTTAGCAGACCACAGCTCTAGTCCTGAGCTTCTCCAAACCACAGAGCAGGATTTGACATAAAGCAGGGGCTTCTGCATGTGTCTGTGAGATAGAGGACTTTAGCAGAGGAGAGATGGCCTCTGGGCCCAAGCAGCTGTGCTGAGACCTCAGTACCTTCCCCATATAGCACTGGACTCTAGCAAAAACCTTTCATCTCTACGAACGTCTTTCTTCCTCCGCAGAAACGGAGGTTCGCTGACAGCTACATAGAGTAAGTGTTTCCTGCACCTCAACCTATCACAGTTTCTCCTCATCTTCAGTGAACTCCGAAGGGATCAGGCCACATTTGTGCAAGACACTCTGGGAATATGGAAGGAAAGAAATGTGCCCAGGACATTGTTGGTCCCTCTAAAAAGGTGGAAGGAATTAAACCTTCCAGGGTGCAAGTCAGCAACCAAAGCCATGCTCGGAGGAGACAGTGTTCAATCAATAAACAGTATCAGCTTCAGAGTTCCCAGGATTGCAAAGTGCTCTCTGCCTAGGTGTTAGGGGAACCTTTAAGCCAACTCTGAGCTAGTGAGAAGGATTAAAATTAAAAAAAAATAATAATAATAAGGCTGGGCGGCCGTGGCGCACGCCTTTAATCCCAGAATCAGGAGGCAGAGGCAGGTGGTTCTCTGTGTGTTCGAGGCCAGCCTGGTCTGCAAGAGCTAGTTCCAGGACAGGCTCCAAAGCAACAGAGAAACCCTGTCTCGAAAAACAAAAACAAATCCAGGTCTGAAGTTCTTTAGGACAAAGCTCTTACAGGGCACTTGTGGAGGCAGGTTCCCCTTCAGGGACAAGAGATGGAGCAAGGAAGGCTCTGTCAGACTGGGAGCAAGGCGCTCCAGCCTCTGAGAACTGACTGACACACATTCTAACGAACACTCAGCCCATGGTTTCCAGGCCAGACGCCAGACCAGTTGCTGTGTACCCTTACTCTTACTCCCCATGAGAGACAGAAATCCAGATTCCTGTGTTAGGTGTCAGAAATATCTGTGAAAGAAAACTCTAGAAAATGTTTATAGACCGAAGAGACCATGCATGAGCCCAGACTGGATTCCACATTGGGAATACCAATTACAGTTTCTGCTGGTGGGAACGCCCAGAGACCAGGCAAGTGAAATCACTTGAATGTCAAGCTAAGAAAGGTGGAATGTTGTTTTTCCAGAAAACACAGGACCCCAGGAAGATGCCCGTCAACACTGCTTCTGTGCAGGAGTGATGGGAAGTCACTTTGTTCGCTACTGTTTTTTTAAACGTAGATTTTTTTCCCTTGATGGTTTTGTCTAAAAAGTGCACTCAGGGCTCACTGTGATAACGATCATTGCTCTGTTTACATACAAAGGCCTGAAAGCCAGAGACCAGTCCCTACCTCTCAGCTTAAACCCTCTCGTTTAAACATTAACCGCATGCTTTAGAAGCTTCATGCGTGAGTGGAACAATGGGTCATCTTACATTAAATAATATTTAAGGTCCCTACAAAGTCCATCATCAGAAGAACCTACACTGGCCTTGAACTCACAGAGATCTTCCTACCTCTAACTGCTGGGCACTGGGACTAAAGCTGTGCACCACCACGACCAACTTACAAATGAAATAGTATCTTTTAAGGATGTATTTTACTCTTATTTTACATGTATGGGTGTTTTGCCTGCATGCAGGTCAGTGCACCACAAGAGTGCCTGGTGCCCATGAAGCTAACGCTCTTAGCTGCTGAGCTCTTCTTCCAGTGCCCAAATAATATAATAGTTTTTAAAACTATCAGTTTTGCGGTTTTAAAAAGTCTCTCTCTCTCTCTCTCTCTCTCTCTCTCTTTGAGGCAAGGTCCTATGTAGCCCAGGAAACCTTCAACTTCTGATCCTCCTGCCTCCACCTCTTAAATGCTGGCATCACAGGTATGTTCCATTGTGTCTGTGCCTGGCTGGCCATTTTCCAGTGACCGCATTCAGACCCTCGTTTTATGGCAATAAGTCTGAGGCTCAGATAGATTAACCAACCACATAAGTGTCAGCAATGGGCAGAGTCAGAGGTTTGTTCTGTATTTTATACCCAGCATTCTTCTGGGCACTAGAACCTCAGAGACCTTCTCCACATGCTGAGGCTAGTGGTCCTGTGTTCCCAAGGACCATCTTATGATCTCCAGAAGCAGGAGAATCCTTCTGGATCAGTGTCAGTGGGATGGAGAGGAAGAGGGCGTGCCCAGGAGAGGCCAGCCCCGGCTTACCTTACTCAGCAGGCAATCTTGTAAGTCTCCCTCTGGAAGAGACTTCATGGTGTCTTGGTCAATCCCCAAGATAGCAGCAACCTTCTGCTTCTTTTCACGATGGAGGACAAAGCTGGTGGGCAGCCTTCCCAGCAGTGTTACTCTCTGGATGAAACTTCTCTGGAATTGTGAGCACGGACCAGAGACTTGGCCTCTTCTGGCCGGCTCACTGCAGTTTTCCTTCCCAACATGAGCGAATCCGTCTGCCATCTTCCAGGGAATTACAGAAAGATTAAAAGGAGACTTGATGGAAATGAATTGGAGCCCACCTGGCGTTACCCGATGTTGGTTTATCCTGTCTTTTTTTATCCTCTTGTCCTGACACCAGGTGTACCTTGGCACCCAGTGTCTTTACATCTCCTTGTTCTTATCCTGTTGACAGTAAATATCCCCTGCCCTCCAATCCAGAAAATTCTGCAATTGATTTACTTCTTTACCATAAACAAACAAGAAATTGCAAACAAGCCATCTGGTGTCTCACCGTCATGCCCAGTGCAAGCCTTGTCAATCAGATGAGAGCCAGGATCAGCATTTGGAAAAGCACGAGCTCGTGCATACAGAGGCAAGCTTAAACAGACACAGAGAACACACACACACACACACACACACACACACAGAAAGGCAGGCTTACAGACAGGCACATACACGCAGAGGGAAGTAGGGCAGAGTCCTGCCTCTCACCTGCTGACCTTAGAATGTGATTTCCTTGTCCCACTTGATGGCTGACATTCAAAATAACATCAGTATAAACAGTCCCCTAAAGAGTCTAGAACACATCTCGTTTTACCAGTAAAACTCATTCTAGACAATAGCTCAGGCAGTTCGTCCCCAGTCTGACTGGCCGGGGATAGCTTTACTACAGGGGAAAAAAAAAAATCCTAGTAGCCTGATCTTCCTGAAGCTGGTTAAAATCTGTGATCCAAAGGCCTGATCTTCCTGAAGCTGGTTAAAATCTGTGATCCAAAGGACTGACAGCCCAGCTCACGTCTGGGCTTCCAGGCAGGCAGCTCCCCAAACCTCCCTCCTCAGTGCTCTTCCACAGCTGCCAACCCCGCCTTTCTACTCTATCCTGTGGCCCTGCATTTGCATAGCCTCCCAGACAGCTCCAGGTGAGCTCCACACCAGACCCCACCCACCTCCTTCTCCTGGGTGTTCAGGCTGCCTGGCTCAGGCTCCATCTGACAATGCAGAACTTTTAACACGTTCTGAAAAGTTACAGCTTCCGCCGGGATCCTCAGACTCCCTCCACACTTCCTTGATTTTCCACCTGTTATTCTGTGTCATGGAAATCCCCTTCTTTTTAGGGCACGCACTCTCAGATAATCTAGACTCTTCTTCCCTGGACTTTGTTCCCCTGGTCAACATTCCAATCGACCACATGAGTTTTCTTTACAAATGAAACAAGAGCCTCTTCCCCTTAACCCGCCTTTTGGAATTCTCTCTCCACGTCACTTTCAACGGCATCAAAGTCCCCATTTCTCCCCCGCATACTTTTGGTTTTGCCCTTGGCTTCTGCTTTTGCTGGAACCGTGACCTCAATCCCTCTCCTCTCAGACTTTTCTTGATAATAGTAAAGCTGCCCTGGGTTTCTGGAATCAAACATCAGCGCCTTCCTCGGTTCTCACTCAGATGCCGAGCCATCTGTTAACCCGGTACTGCAGGTTAAAGTGTTGTATCCGGAAACTTCTCTTGGTCCAAGAGGGAAAGATTCTGGCCAGGTATGAACAGGGAAATCAGATCATTGAGCTACAGGGAGAGGAACCTGGAGAAGGATCGGCACCGTGAACCCAGGGCAGCTGCCTGCAGGCACCTTCCCACTAGAGAGTAGGTGGGTGGGTTGTGTGAACAAAGCCTAGACTCACTGCATGGCCCAGTTCCTAGTTGGGACGGCTCCACAGCACAGGGCTGGGCACAGACGTTGGCTCTTGCAGCTCCTGGCAGAAAGGCTGATGAAAACAGGCTTGCCTATCAGATACAGATCTCCAGTTAATTGGACAATAGGTCAGCAAAAAATCTGGTGGGTAAGGGTGTGCCTAGGGCCACCAAGAAGGATCCAGTTAATTCAAATTTTCCTTTATCCTTGGAAAATAAAAAAAAAATCTCATTTTTCATGATTTACATGCAAGGCAAATTGAAAATGGAAGCCGGCTCTATCTCAGTTTAGACTTTGAGGACCGGGCAGGTTAGATGGCTCAGCAGATATGTCTGCCACTGAGTCTGACGACCTGAGCTCCATCTCTCCCCACCTCCCAGGACACTGCCTCCTGTACACCTCCACACACATACACACATAATAGATAAATGTAATAGATTATCAGGACCAATAACACGTTTAATGTCTGTTTAACAAAGTAGTCAAAAAATTTTCTTGATAGTTTTGTACTGGGGTCTGGTAGTATGGTGTGCACACAGAGATCAGAGGACAAGCTCAGGGGTCAGTCCTTCGGTGCCTTCTACCTTTTCCTGGAGACAGAGTCTTTCACTGTCCAGGAGCCTTGTCGTGTAGGTCGTGCTTCCAGGCCTCTGGGCCTTACCTCCCATGTCACCATTGCTGGATCACAGGCATGTGGTACACAGCCAGTTTTTGACATGGGCCTCGGGGTCCAAATTCACATCCTCACACTTTCAAGGCAAGAACCTGTCAGGAGCCATTTCCCCCCAATCATTACAGGAACCATCACCCTAGGGGGTCTGCAGAGAACCGCACATCCAATTAACTGTTAATCTGTTAAGCGGAACCCACCTCACATTCCAGCTATCCAGGGAACTAGGTGTGGCAACCAGTGACTTCTGGCCTGTCTGTCCGACCTGGCCTACATGACCGGAACCACTCGGCGGCGAGATCCCTTGCCCTGCCCCCCATTCCTTACCATATATAAACTGTAACCCGTCCCTAATAAACGGAGGCTTTGACAAAACTGCTTGGCCTCCTTCTTCTGTCTTAGCTCATTCCCTTCCAGGTAGCGCCCCTCCGAGACCCTGGAGTAACTTGATTGCGGGTGGGTTACAAACCCCTAGACTGTGTAGCCCACCCAACACAATCGACAAGAACCTTGCAAAGGGAGCCAGCTCAAGATTTTCAAAAATCTTAAACCAAACCTAGTTTTCAATGAGGGTTCTTGGGAAGACCATGCCCATCCAGGCTTACCCAATGTTTTTACTGGTTTATCCAGTGGTTAAACATTTCATGGCAAGAAGGGGAAAGATTAGCCTGACCCAAATCAATCTAAAATGTGCAGATTTACTCAAGAACGTCAGGGCTGCAAACTCAAACGTATTCCTTTAAGAGTTCGCTTTAATCTAGGAAGAGTCAAATCCAGCGGCTCAGGAGACTAGACGATGGATGAAACCCACAATAGCGAACCATCTGCAACAGTGTCCCAGGCTGCTCTCTGTGACCAGGGAAGCCTCTGGTGCACACAAGGTTGGTCAGTAAGTAGTAGCAAATACTTCCTTTAAGCTGTGGCATTGCACTATAAAAATTATAGAGAATAAATGGTAAGCAAGGCAAGGCAATTTCACCTTACAGCTTAGCACTCGGGAGGCTGGGGCAAGAGGACTGCTTTGAGCTCAAGGCCAGTTCGGGCTAAATGTGAGACTCTTTCCCAACTCCTCCCCTCCCCCAAATACCGTACCAAAAAAATAAAGAAAAAAAAATGATCTCAGTTTGGGCAGGAAGGGAAAATCCATGTTTCTAGGAATGTCCACGGATCCCATCTATCTGTAATTAATAAAATACCGTAAGGTACAAAACATTCACTTTATGTGTTATAAATTCAACTACACACATGGTCCTGTGGTCACTTCAATTATCATCTCCTTTTATGAAAAGCCTGACATAAGGGAACTTCACATTGGAAGCGGCAAAGATAGGATCTTAGTAAATGTTTATCCTCACGCTCTGCTTTACCCACTGAAGACAAAGGGCCTTCTCGTAACGTGTGTGGGTCATCCTCCATGTTTCTGTTGGGTCAGATCATGCCATGGGTCATTCATCATAGTTCCGCCAAAGAGTACTGTCTCCTTTCCTCTTGCACTGAGGTCATTTGACCTTTTGTCGAGATTCAGAGGCCAAGGCTGCCCATACTCACACACTTATGTGGGTAAGGCAGACTCTAAAACAAACCTAGATGGTGTAGAAATGGAATAAGGTGAGACCCAGGGCAGGAGACATGACTCAGTCAGTGAAGGAGCTGTGGTTCAAGCACAAGGACACAAGTTTGATTCCCCAGAGCCCATGTAAAATGCCAGGTGTGGTATCCCATGCTAGTGCTGGGGAGACGGAGAAAGGAGGCTCCCTGGGCCTTGCTGGCCAGCCAGGCTAGCCTACTCAGAGAGCTCCGGGCCTGAGGCTGACCTCTGACCTCCACACTCACATGAACACACACACACACACACACACACACACACACACACACAGCTGATTCCAACCCAAAAGGAGCAAAGCAGCAAGAGCAGACTGTCTGCACCTGAAGGAAGTCACTTTTCACAGCCTAATGCTGGCAGGAATGCTGAAAAACAGCCCAATGTTGAGAACATGCTAGAAGCCCAGAATCCTCAAGTCTTTGTGAAAGCCGAGGCTGCACCTAGCCAGCTGAAGAACATCATACTGTTTATTAGCTACGGGATATCCCAGCGTTCCCAGAAATAGCAGCACCCATCAGAGAAAAAGATAACGATGCCTGCTTAACAGCCAGGGCTCTTCCCGGGGTGCAGCCTGAGGTCGGTGAGAGCGGGGAAAGCCAAGCTGTGAGCTCAAGCTGTTCACTGGGCAAAGATAGTCTGGCTTAGGTGCAAAATGCCCAAGAAGTGGGGCTGGAGAGATTGCCCAGCACTTAAGAGGATGTACTGGCGGGAGGCGCTCCCCGGGTCCAGCATGTGCTGGAGAGATGGCAGATGGCTCAGAGGTTAAGAGCATTGCCTGCTCTTCAAAAGGTCCTGAGTTCAATTCCCAGCAACCACATAATGGCTCATAACCATCTGTAATGAGGTCTGGTGCCCTCTTCTGGCCAGCAGGCATACACACAGACAGAATATTGTATACATAATAAAGAAATATTTAAAAATAAATAAATTTTTTTTTTCAAAAAGAGGATGTACTTATTGCTTAGAGAGGACCTGAGTTTGGTCACTAGTACCTATAGTAATAGCTCACATTGGCTGTGGTTCCCTCCAGATCTGATACCCTCTTCTAGACACCTGCTCTCACAAGGGTACACACCTACAAGCATGAACACACACACACACACACACACACACAAAGTTAAAAAGATGAAATGTCTAACAAGAGAGAAAGAATGAGAAATAATTCAGGGTGGGTGGGGGCAGGGACATTTCCCAGGCCTGTGCCTGTGGGTTGGTGTGTCCATCCAAGTGCACAAGATCGCTAGCACACTTTTCTAGACTGTCCTCATCCCGTGGACTAAGCCCTGCCTGGGACTTGGTGTTTTCACAGAGGACAGTCATCAAGGCCATGAAGCTTGGCTAACACTCGATTTTCAAATCCAATCTCTCTGCCTATTTAGGAAAAAGGAAGAAATAAAGCACACTGTATTTACATTCAAAACTCCTCCTGAATCCAGGATGCCACTTGGTCACGTGAGGCTGAGCTATTTTTAAGTTGCTGTCTCCAGAGAAAGTGAGAGGAGGAGAGAGGAGCGGCAGTTCAGGAAGTGGATGGCTTTTCCTTCATTTTTTTTTTCTTTATGCCGTCTGGTAACTGCTCACCTCAGTTTCTGGGATGTCTGAGTCAGGAGGAAACACCTGGTTAGTGGAATCCACAGTTCTACCTCTGGGGTGTTCAGAGGAAAGCCCCCCTTCCCCGTCCCACCCATTGGTGTTCACGAAGCATGACAGATCTGATTGCTTCCTCGAAAGGGACCAGCAGGAGGATGTGGAGGGAGACAAACATTTCCCATCATAGATTTATGCAAATACGGCCATTTGATCTCTGAAGAAGAGTAGACACAGCCCACTGAGGAAAAGATGTGCGGCAGGCGGGCGGTGTGAGCAATGGGTCTACTGTAGAAAAGGAAGTAAGTCTTTTTAAAAGACCGATTGGACATGGCTCATAAACCTCAGTGAAAGGCATAAATCTAAAGCTCATAGAAGGAAAGGTGGGGTAAACCCTTGTGCCTTTGGGTTAAACAAAGAGTTCTTAGAAGTGACATCATTTATTATAAAAGGGACATGATGGCCAACAGGTGTGCATACACAGGAAAAAAAAAATATCAGGAGAAGCCAAGTGTAACCGCACCTTGACTTTGGCCTTCTGCCTTCTGGAAGTGTGAGAAGGACTTCTGCCCCTTAGCCGGCCGAGTCTGTGGCATTCTATGACCGCCCGGGAAGAGGGGTGCTCCTCTGTGAAAGCACCCACTTGTGTTGACCAGGGCTAGGCAAAAACATCTTAGCGGCTCCACCCGTTACTTCATCCCCTGCCACCAAGCCATCATTAGTTGCCCCATTCACAGACTTTGGCCTTTCAGCAGCACCTTCGGAGGCTTTGTGTCCAACTTTGTTCTCTTAACCCAAGGTGGGCCTCAGCCATGATAGGTGAGCAAGCTCTCTGCCACTGAGCTATATCCCCAGCCTACTTTGGGTGTTTTACTTTTCGGAAACATGTCTCTGCTACTTTCCTCACCCCCACAAGCCTCTGAGGACAGCTTTGTGTTCCCCCTTTTGGCCACAAGAAAATGGCTGTTACCCCTCCCCGCAGAGAGCTCTTCCCTCCACAATTTCTCACCAGAAAACTTAGACATCAGCTATGGTATAGGAAGGAGTGAGTACACCCTCTAGGCCTTACATGCTGAATCTCATGTATTAGCAGTATGGTCTCCTGTGTGCTGACGCTAGGAAGAAGTGGGGGCCCCGAAGAGGTGCACACTACCAAGAGGTCACTCAGTCTTAGTGACCACCGCCTTTGGATGGATTTATGACATTCTCATGGCATCTGGGGTTGGTTTTCATGAGTGGCTCTTTATAAAAGAGCAAGCCTGGCTCCTCTCCATATTCTGGTTTGTGTCCCACTTTGTGATTGCCATGGCGACATCTGCCATAGAGTCCTAAATCAAAACATAAGGCCCAAGTAAAGGAGTGTTATATTCTTGAACCCCTAGAACTGGAATTTAACAAGCCACTGTCTTTTAAAAATCACCCAGCTTCAAGAATTTTGTCATAGTGGTTTCAAGTGGACTATTCAAGTATCCTAACGTTTTCCCCTGGGACTTCGGGAAAGTAGGAAGGCCCACAAAGGCTACCCTGGATAGATTGTGTTCTTCCTGGCAGAGACAACAGTCTCTGGAGTAATGCCGGAGGCCTCACCAGACCCCCACTCCACACTCAGAGACCACAACCACAGTGTTTATGCTGACATACAACTGAGAAAATCAAATGCCAAGGCAGGCATGGCTATTCCCACACAGGTTTGTCAGAGCATATATGCTAGAATGGATGTTAAGAAAATAAAACTGGCCCAAAGGCCAAGTACCCCTTCAATAAAAGAGATCGAGGTCAGCCCATCCACGCAAAGGACAATGGCAGGAAGGGCAAAGGGGAAATGAGTTACGTCGCCCACTTCATTATTAAACTGCTCATAGAAATAACCAGGACACAGGGTCTAGTAACAGATACCAATTGGGATAGCTGGTTTCCAAGTGACGTTAGTTCCTAAACTAACTGTAAAAAAAAAAAAAAAAAAAAAAAAAAAAAAAAA